GAGCTCCAGTAAAATTTCTGTTCTGTAAGTCACCTTAACGAGTAAAAACAACATTATTCTTTTAAAGTATGAAATTATTCTTATTTTAAATTTATTTTTTAACTTTTATTTTAAGCACATTTTATATTTAAAACAGTAGTTTAGTATAAATCGACAAAAAAGATTTTTTAAAAATAGTACATTCCTTTCTATTATTTATTTCTCTTATTAAGAATAGTTTTGATGATACCGAATCGACAATCAAAGAAAAAATTTCTCCAAAAAATAAACCAAAAAACCTCCAAATTTTGTTTCACATCATTATCCCCATTGCTTCTGCAATTCTTTGAAGTGGAGATTGGCTTGATCAATTAATTTTGTGGCATTGTTATTTGTTCTTTTTTGATTGTTTCTTAAAAACTTGATGAAACGAATGTAGACAACCAGCGTTACAGCAGAATAGAGATATACCAGCTTAGAAAATTTTTGAATTTTTAAGAAACAAAAGAACTCGAAAAATTTTTCCCATAACTCGAATATTTTCAATTCAGATAAAAATTCTAGCTTTCCTGAAATTTTTTCTGTGCCCTTAGAAATTGAATTATTTTAAAGTATATACCAAGTTTATAATATTGTAGTAAAATACATAGGTTGCTATTGACAATTCTTCTTTATATGAGCGAAGGAACACAACGAGTGCATTATATAAAAGGTAAATTGTTGCATAAGCAATATCCATTGGAAGGATTAAACGCATTGAAAGTATGTTCTCGTTGAGTTGAAAACTCGTGCTTAGGCTATAGTCGCTCACACATGACCTATAAATTTGTATGCTTAAATCTTACGGATGTAGAGCATAATATGAATATACTCAGATAGTGGCGTGACTAGTGTCACTTATACCACAGAAAAATTCATTTAACAAATTTAAAAAAGGTCGTTACTAAAAGCCGTTCTATTAATTACCCCCTACAGCCAGGGATAGAAAAAATAATTACCCCTTTTAAAAATAGTTATAATTAGCCTTTTTAAAAACGCTCAAATAATTACTCCTCCCTTTTAATTACTCCCTCCAGCGAGAGGTCGAAACAATAATTACCCTGTGTAATTATTTTAGCAAATACGATAGACCAAATGTAATTGGCTTAGTTACTATTTGTCTCCAATCTTAACGAAAAATTTTTGCGCAAGGAAAACCTTAATAAAATTTTTAAAAACCAGTTTACCTTAACTCTTGTATTCGTCTATTTGTTACAGTAATTCTCCAATCAAAAAATGCTGTTAATATTACCATTAGTGTTGTCAAAATGGTGACATAAATAATTAGATTAGCTGTACTTTTGTTTACCAAATATAATGCTCCCAAAATTTCCATTGTAGGATCGGCAAAAGCCATAAGTATTATATAAGTCATATAGCTGATTGAAATTACCCACTTAAAATTAAATAATATGATTTGTTATTTTGAGTTATTAAAATACAGCCCAGAAGACTTTAACGTTAAATTTTGGACGGCCATTACTCGGCCCAAGGTTATCTTGCAAGAAAACGGATATCACTTCGCAATAGGAAGGAGTAGGTCCTCTATCGAATTTTACCAAAAAATATATAAAATTCGTGGTGACAGTAAAAGATGGTTCGTTGTGAGAGATAACCTCATATCTCCCCTTGTGTAATTTTATTCGTAATTAGTATCAAGTTTTGAAGAAAAAATTGGAGAATTAGCCTCCTCATGCTTTAAAAGCTGTCATCAAACTTTTTGAAACAGCTAGAACAGATCCTTTTTTGTAAATCACAACTCACACTAATAATTATCATAATAACTGTCAACTTTCTTCCAGCATTTTCATATTTGTTCAAAAACAAGGTTGCTCTCAAACGTTCTAGCATAATACAAAAATGTAGTGAAGGATAACATATCGTTTGCAAATAGAAAGATCCAACTAATATTGAGTCAAGCCATAGAGGAGTTAATAATTCGCGTGGATCTTTGTAGTAAAGAAGAATTACCTTAAAACAAATATATAGCGAGGTCCCAGAAGTTGGGGAATTATATGTATAATTAAATAATAAATTCTAAAGACTTACAAAATAACGCAGATTAGTGGCAAATTGTGTTGTCGCGTGGATAAAATAAACAATGACGATATTAACAAATAACAACTAAAATCATTTAATTTTATATAAATTTCAAAATAAATTTTATTTTAAGTTAATAAATTTCAAGAACCTATAAATCAAATTTTGGTGATATCTTATAGTTAGGTCAGTAATTAATTAACATACCAAAAGATTTGTATGAATAGCAACACGCTTTTTCAAATATTGTCGTATTAGTTCGAAAATCAGCAACAATATTGTAAATAATAGAACGATAGAAACACGTAAGACAATTACATAAACAGGGCTTAGAAGGCTCTGCTCAAGGTCTACAGCAAGCAAAGTTAAATTTATTTGAGTTGTTGAATTAATTGAAGTCATATTTTCTAAAGTTTATATTTAATTATAAAACTAATAAAGCTAATCGTCTAAATCATGACGAGCTATTTCGAATGAAATCTAAAGTAAACTGATTTGACAACAGGGCTAACTCGATTTTCAAAGAAAGCAAAATTCCAATCTGCTGAACAGATTTATACTTTAGAACAAACTTACACTTTACGTGAACTTAGAGGAAATGTGTAATAAGAGATACCGTATTTTCGTTAAAATAAGCCACGGGGCTTATTTTTTCCGATCAACCTCAAGAGAGGGATTATTTTGGAAAGAATGTAGAGGGGGCTTAGGGGGGCAGGCTTATTTTAGATGGAGGGGAGAGCTTAATTTGGAGAGGGACTTATTTTGTATGGAGCTTATTTAGGGGGAGGGCCTATTTTGGAGGGCAGGAGAGCTTATTTTAGTGGGGGGGGGGTTATTTTGGAGGAGAAGAGGGGGGGGGGGGTTATTTTAGAGAGGAGCCTATTTTAGAGGAAATACGGTAGGCATAATATACAACAAAATGTATTATATATCCGTTGATAATTAGAGGTATACCAAAGATCACGAGACAAAAAATAACGTTTATCCACAGTAGATAATTAAAATTAAGCTTAACGCTTTAAAAACGCTATTAAAAAGTAAAAAGTCAACGAAAAAGAAAAAATTAATTAAAATAATTTTTTATTAAACGCAAGCTTAGACAATTTTTCCTTTAACATTAAAAAATAATAACAAAATGTATTTTAGCGTGAGTTGTCTTAGAAAAAGACACTTAAACAAAAGAATATACTTTTTATTAATTCTTTAGTACAAAAATTATTTTTTAATATTGAAACATAAGTTTTCAAAAATTGACTGAATTTGATGTTTGTGGATTGAAAAAAAGAAAATTTGGTAATATATTTTTCAGAAGATCAAAATTATTAATATTACAATATCCATTGCATAAATAGAAAGAAAATTAAAAACTATTTGTAAATTACTTCATTATAATGCAGAATTTATGTAAAAAAGGCGCAGAAGACCCACAGACAAAAGACTCATAAGGAAAAATTTTTACCAAATCTAGAAGAACAAGATTAGACAAAGTTACGATGTGAAAAACAAACATCGTCCTATGGGCACAGCAGACACATGTACAAAACCCCGCGCGAAGCACAGAGTTTTTCAACACACGTTTCGCAGGGAGTCAACGGTCGCTGGGTCCTGCTATTATCGCTGCAGCGGCCATTCTTGGCATCCTCGCAGCAGCATAAGTAAAAAGACAATATGAAAGCACATTCGAATAAAAATAAGAAAAATGGTTTTGGGTCTTCCATCTGTGGGTTTCTGATTCGAACGCTACAAAAAAAATAATTTATTTAATAATAAAATAATAAAAAAAATTTTCCAATTTTTTTCTGAACTAAAATGTCTCTCCAATAATTTTTATTTCATTACTTGAACCATTAATTTTAATTGTATTATTACCAGGAATATCTTCAACGTGCAACTGAAAGTTGTACAAATTAGAGAATTAGAATGTCCATATCTTCAAAATTAACTACTGGGAGAAGTATGTGGAAATTTGAAATTGGCTAATACTCGTACTTTCCTAAAGGTTTTATTTTTTCATTGTACTCGTACACTTATCTGTCTAGAATTTTGTATTAATCGAATACGAATTAATAATAGAATACAGAATACGAATTCTGCTACAAGATTCTAAACAAAGTTTTGGGTAATGATTAACCTTAATAATTTATAGTTGTCGATAATCTAGATTTTAGTGGGTAAAAGACGATCAGGTAGCGAATTAGCCAGAAAGTCAATGTTCCCTCTAAAATCTTACCTCAACCGTATTTACTGTACCATTTATAACCGTAATATTTCCTGTTGGTTTTAATTTTTTTAAATCCTCAGAAAATTTATATTCGGCTTTTGTTGGACTAACAGTAATATGTTCGCCATTAACGTCGATTTTAACTGATTTTCCTATAATTTTTTTATGTCCTTTCTTGACATTTTCAATTTGAATATTATTTCCATATATTTTAACTTTATTTGCAGCTCCCTTTATTTCTAAATAGTTAGTTTCGTAAACTTCATTTTTGTTTTGCACAAGAATTTTGTCAGGCAAAACAACAATTTTCAAATCATTGATAATCAACTTTATAGCTCCTATATGATTTCCTTTCGAACTTCCATGAGACGATGAATTAGTAAATCCTGACGATGACCCTCCAAAGAAGTTTGGAAAAAATCTTAAACCTTTTGATGACGATCCTTAGATTATATTTAAATATTATTTTGAATTTATGAACATCCTAAAATCAATGGGTAATCAAAAAATAAGATACCTAATAGAAAACCTAGAATCTATACATATTACAGCATATTTAATCCTGTTAGATAAAAATCTCTGGTAGTTATTAAAGCTCTTTTGAAGCATCCGGCATCGGCGGGCGGGAGCCGTTTATACTCAGAAATGGTTTAAATTTTTAAGTAATAAATCATGTTGTTAAAAAATAAATAAAAATATTTTCAATTAATTTGTTCACCTTTTAATCATGTGGCAAAAAGGTATAATAATATGAAATACCGAAATTTGTACGTGCTTTCTTTCTTTTTGGCGAAGATCCAGCAAAGGTCGGATATGATCCATCAGACGAAGGAGATGATTCTCCAGATGTAGTAGGTGATCCACTTGACGATGGAGAGGATTCTCCAGACGTAGTAGGTGATCCAACAGACGATGGAGAGGATTCTCCAGACGTAGTAGGTGATCCAACAGACGATGGAGAGGATTCTCCAGACGTAGTAGGTGATCCAACAGACGATGGAGAGGATTCTCCAGACGTAGTAGGTGATCCAACAGACGATGGAGAGGATTCTCCAGACGTAGTAGGTGATCCACTAGACGATGGAGAGGATTCTCCAGAAGTAGTAGCTGATCCACTAGACGATGGAGAGGATTCTCCAAAAGTAGTAGGTGATCCAGAAGATTTGTTTACTTCTTTATCATACTCCATCCTATTTTTCTCATCGCAAAGAATTCCATAAGCCTCAATTATTTTCTTGGAATATTCCAAAGCGTCAGGGTTATCTTTATTTTTGTCTGGATGATATCTTAACATTAATCTTTTGTATGCGGTTTTGATCTCTCTGGTGGATGCATCTTTAGAGACTTTTAATATTTCGTAGTAGTTAGGTATAGAATTAACAATTACAACGAAAATTAGCAAGCAGAAGAGGTTCATAGGATAATGCATCTGCAAAAAGCTAATATAAGACGTAGACAATATTTTGTTTGGAAAAATTTTTGTTTAGACAAACGTAGACAATATTTTATTTATTTAAAAAGGCAAAATTAAAAATTATTTTTATGGCGGCAAAGCTTGCTTAGGCAAAGCAATGCACTTATATTCATCGACTTTAGATGATGAAATTCAAAGAGGACCGCAATAAATTAGATTTTAAAATTATAATACAACGTCAATAAATATTAAAGAAAGTCCCGCTTATTTCATAATAGGTATGTGACTACATTTATAAAGGAAATCATGTTTTAATGAAATCTAAAACAGACTTGCAACTGGAGTTGGAAAAGACGAGACTGATACCTGTTAGTCTCAGTTGTATCGTTTCTCGGTATCGGGTTCTTGAGTATCGGCCAATCTCGGTCTCGGGTGGCCGATACCAGTATCATTTTTCCAACTCTACTTGCAACAACTGTTTGGAAGTTTGTGCCAAAATTCGTATCCATATCGCCCTTGTACCTGTCTACAGAAGCAGACTTCGCTCAATTTGCTATTTGAAGTGGCTGGGAACGAATTTAGGGATGGGAAATGAGATTTTGACATTTTTCTTTTCAAAAATAAAATTTTAAACTTTGATTTTAAATTTGTAAATTTATTTTTTTTAATATTTTAAAGTTGAAAAAACTTTAAAAATTTTAATTTAGTCAAGAATTTTCCAAAATCGCAGAAAATTTAAGAGTTTTGGCTTCATGACAGGGCTGCTGTCAGTTTCACCGAATCCTTTTTTATAGGAGACGAAGACTCGCAGAGATACGGGCTACAGAAAATTTAAAAAAATAGGGGACCCAAGCGGATTTTTGAGGTGAAAAATTCGAGTATACAAATTATAGTCTACGAAAGAGGCTCCTTTTGCTGAGTCTAATGAATTAAATTCGACAGAGATATGTCCCGTAAATTGAAGAAACACATTGTTTATTTTTTCGGACAAAAATGTTTGTACAATTGACAAAAGGGCTCGTCTCAGAGCCCTTTGGAACCATTTCGTCTCAGAGGCCTTTCGTCTCAGAGCCCCTTTCGTTGATTAAAGAAGATTAGATAAAATGAAACAAGTTCGTCGATTTGTGTCGACGGAACCCGTCCAATTTGTCTATTTAAAAATTTCCCGATTCCCTCGATTTTTGTCTTTTTGTGTCTCAATTCATTCAAGTGATTAAAAAAAAGCATTTAAATTGTTTTTTTTTGTTTTTAGAAAATTTGCTCATATTTTTTAAATAGAATTCTACTCTTTTTCTTTAAAATTTTAGAATTTTTTCGAGTAGAAAACTAATTATAATTAATTATTTATTAAAAAACCTGCTCGTATTTTTTAGATATAATGTCGCTCTTTGTTTGCTGACAGGTAATGAGTTACTAACAATACTTAGTAACAAGAATATTATTACTATAAACTTAACGTAAATTTTATTTAATTTTTGTGAAATGTAAAACACCTGTTTCCAATTAATGTTATTTTTTCATTTAATTACAAGTTAGAATAAAAGAAATTTCATTTTGTTCGAGTCATTCTAGGTTGTCTTTTACTAAATGACATGTTAAATTGAAAAATTTAAAAGTGCAAAATTAAATTTTAAAATACTGTACCATTTAGTATAATATATGTTATTACTAGAGGCCGGATTTTTATTGAAATAAAAGCGTTGCCATAAAATATTGAAATAATTTGTAAAAAGCGCAAAATATTGAAATAACTAGAAAATTGGAAAAATATTAAATTTAGTGAAATACTATTTTGTTTAAAATAATAATATGTATTGAAAAACTAATGGCATTTCTCGACGAAATATATTTCCAAGAAACAAATTTATTTCAATGAAAATCCGGCCTCTAGTTATTACCATTTGCTATCCCTTTAAATATTTAAATAATTTAAAGCCTTTAACATACTTTTAAATCATTTAAAGTTCCAGTCATATAATTAGTACTAATACATATTAATATTTGCTTTCATAAAGCTTGATGCTGACCCCAAATGATCCTGTATGTTTTAAAAATTAATTTACAATAGTCAAGTCAAAAATTAGATTATTATTTATTCTACTAACTTTAAATTTAATTATTAAAATTTTATTTAATATTACTAGGTCTTCAATTATTACAACACTTCAGGAACTATGTATATTCTTACAGCAAAATATGGCAGTATTGCCTTTCTCAATCTTTTTGCAATCTTATTAAATTTGTTTATGTTCTATACAACTTGGATAAATAAGTAATTTCAATTTTGGATCAGAGATTAAATTTATATCTAAATATATACATCTTATGCATAAGGATGTAATATCTGTAAAGTAACTAGCTGTAAAAGTAACTATGTAGTGATCGGAGAAATGCTAAAATAGGATTTGAGACATGTTAAGTAGAATTAAGTAAGAGCCAACCTTAAGTAAGAGTTAAGCTCTTACTTAATAAGTTTTTAAATTTGGCAAGCCAATAGGTTATTGTGCAGCCTGATTCTGTTTTACTCGAAATACGGTATAATTGTGTGCCCTGGTAAAAAATTATCGTTTCATCTCTCGCTGGAAGTTGTAAAATAATAGAGGCGGGGTAATTATTTGAGAGCGGATAACTATTTGAGTAAATAATATTGTTCGGCAAATAACCTTATCGGTATTCGGTATACCAGAAAAATACTGATTTTATTAAATAGTTCCGATACAGTATTATTATACCGGGAAAAATACCGCATTAACGGTATATTATATTAGTAAATACGGTATATAACCTAATAAATTTACATTTGCTTTTAAACACAGATATTAATTTTATCCTTAAAAAGTTTTTACAAATAAATTTTCAGATGTTTTCATCACCGAATTAATATTTATATTGCATTGAGCTCTTTTTTCACAATACCATTTAATCTTGGATTATGCGTCAAATTCTTTATTCTTCTATTCGGAATTAATTTTATAAGTCTTCTTTCATGTTATTATATTCAAGTTATACCTATGTTATGTGCAACTTTTGCTAACCAGCTTAGATTATTTATTGGATTTGATAGACTGCTTAGTATTGCTTTTCCTTTATGGTAAATACTTTAGAAAATATGGAATCGGGTTTGAGGGTTTATGTTAGTGCTTCGGTTTTTCCATAAGAGCTGCAAAAAATTTTCGTTTCGTGTTTTGTTGAAGAAATATTTTCTTTCGTTATCGTATTTAATTTTATCTAATCATTATTGCAGGTACAAATTCAACGATCGTTACAAATCTGTTATTGTTCTTGGTGTTTTAGCCATAATTAGGACATCTCGGACTTCTTGGATTATCTTAGATATGGCAATAAAATTTCCTGAAAGGTAAATTTATGTACAATTTGTTATTTACATACTTATGGAGATTTGGTCAACATGGGAATATGATTTTATGTAAATTCCCAATTAAATTTGACTCACATCCTCTCAAATAAAAAAATAAAACGATCCGTTGATGATAAGTGAGCGATCCATGCATCTATATCACTCATGATAAATTCTGGGATGTTTCGGCCGCCGTACCATTTAAACAAAACATAAAATTCCAGACCTGTAATCTGCACATCTGGCGACCTAATTCAACCAGAAATTTATCAAGAAACTTATGCTACTGCAAATGTTTATAATGTGTTAACTATTGTATCTTATGTAGCTATATGGGTATTAATAATCCTGAGAAAAGAAAACAATCCAAATATTAGAAGGTTATGCAGTTCTTTGACCGCAATTATTGTTGTTAATTTTATTGGGACGTTAAATGTGAGCTTTAATTTTTAAAATTAAAATTGCGAAATGAATACTATTAGTTAGCGTAAGGACCTATTTGAAGGTATTTAATAATCGACCAACCGAAAGTTGAGACAAAAGATACAAGATTCTTAGTCAAATCATATACCGATGCTGTTTAGATGATAGAAGCGAGTGCTGAAGCTTTGCCTTTGCTAATACTGATTGTCTTAATAAAAGGAAACTTTCAAAAATGCGCAGCTAATTTATAAATAAAACTTCATTTTATCTATCAGACACAAATCTGGTTTATGCTTATGCCAAAGTTGTCATTTTCTGCTGTAGATATAGATAGTTTTATTACCGTTCCAACTTTGCTTATGTATGTTGTAGCCGCTGGAAGCAATTTGCCTATCTTGTATATTTTTAGGTTTGCAAATTTTTTTAAAAAGTTGACAAGAAAATTCGAAATGAAAAACAAAAATCATTTCATCCCGAAACTGATTTATAAAGCTACCTTTTTAAGCATGGATTACAGGGAGGCATTCAAAAAAAGTTTTAAACATTTAATTTATGGCAAACAATTAACAACTCAAACAATTCCACTAAAAATACAAAATTGTGCACAAAATGCCGGAAATCAACTAAACAGAATTAATATTCCAAGAATTAATATAAATCCTGTTGTAACATAATAGCCAATTTTGAGTTGATTTTAAACTTTGAATACGTTTTTTAAATATTTTTCGGTCGAATAAATATTCCTGATTTGGAAGGCTTAATTAATTAAGTTTGTTAATATTTTCTGGAACATGGTCATTGTGGCTCGCAACCTTCAGACTTTTCTGAATTAGAATCGACCGTAAGTGCAATTTACCCCAATTTTCACAACAAAAGTTAATTTATACATGCCTGAGTTGTTTTCAAGCATGTTGACAAGTAAATATAAATATCATTAAGAGACAATGTGTACTCATTAAATTTTTTAATTATTACATTTCAAATAAATTTTAACGGATTTAATTTGTACTTTTGTAAATCAAAAATGACCAAGTTCAATTATTTAATAATTATTTCGCTAATATATTATTTAATTTATTCGCTACATTGCTTCTTAAAAGGACTGCTTAACTTTAAATTTTTAAAATTATTTCCTTATTTTAAAATTATTTTACACTTTAATAATTTATCATTCATTTTTAAACTAAAGCAATATAGGCTAAGTAAATTCTCATATTTTATTAAATTAAGAATT